ATGAATTACAATTATCTGAAATTATAATTTCTCGTAACATCTTCAAAGATACCGGCACGCACTGTGCAGGTCAATTCTTTTAACCCTCTTCTGTCTCTCATTTGTTCAAGTTAATTTATCCCTCGCTCAAACCTTCGTAATGATAAAAAATTAATATAACGAATGCATCTCTTAGGCAAATAAAAGAATTAACTTCCGCATATCCAGGCATAAGACTGACCGCGTCGATCATAAATAAAAAGCGATGCAGATACTCCGCTTCTTTAAATGGGACGGAATAAGGTTAATATATTCATAATGATTTTCATCCTTTTTTTATGTTCTTTCATTTCTACCTACTTGAATTATATAAAATGCAATTAACCAGAAATTATTGTACCGACTAAAAGGTCCTCTTGTTTCTTCCAATATAACGTTCCCATTATCATATACGAATACATATTACGAACAACTATAAAAATCGCGAGAAGACTTTCCTATCGATCTACAAAAAGTCATCTCTATGCATCGTTAAAACAATAATTATTAACAATTACAATTCAAGTAGTTTACTCGGAAATTGAACCTAACGTTCCTTCCTAATTTGTAAATATAGTTTCTTACACATTCGTTTCACAGAAACTGAAACCAATGACAATTCTTATTGCCTATGCAAAGCTCCATCAAGACTCCACTAAAGTAGAAAAGTTAGCCAAAAAGTGTTGTTTTACGTTTCAATGCGTCGTATATATTATAATGAACTAATAAATATTCAAAATGGATAAACTAACACTAAATCTACCGAGTAATTAAAGTGACTTTTTGAAATTCCTCTATAAAAACTCCAAGAATGCGCTGGTTGAGACTTCAATTAACTTATAATTCAGTTTGCGTGTTGCTAAATCAAATTTTTTAATCATTTCTTCAAGAAACATTTGCTACCGTTTCGATAACTGCAAAAAGGAGAAATCAGGAACGAATCATTTTGATCCGTTTGGTAGTTTTAGTGCTAAGAGACAATACAAGTTTTCGAATAAAATACTCAAGGCATAGTTCAACGAAGTTTCATAAACCTAGTGAAGTTTTTCTTTAAACTTCGCTTAAAAATGCAACAAGACATTTTGGCCAACCTAATGTTTCCAGTTCGTATTCAAGAAGTGAGCATGCATTCGTGTTCGCGACCGAACGATCGTTCTCCGCGCCGGATAAGAAGGATTCCGCAATTTTTATCGTAACGTTGGACACGAAACACGTGGACGCTTACGAGTGAAACGGTATTTACTTGGAATCGCGTAAAAGTGACTCATGCTGTCACGTAGCGTATATCCCCGAGTTATGAATGAAACGATTCTATAGGCGCGACTGCTACTTATCAGGAATTCTGATTCGTTTTACACGAATCTCTGTCGTTTACATTAACAGATTACACGCCAGTGTCCCTACTATGTGCAAACGGCCACAACAGTGTTTTACATCGAATTCATTTCGTCGATAAGAAATTAGAATCGAAGAATTCACTTTTGCTATTTACGACGTACGAAAATAGATTATTTAAACGAACAACTAACATATCACACGATCTCATGCAAATGAAAATATTTCTACGTTTTTCCTCATTAATTAGGAATAATTGGTAATTTACATGTCTCACTGAGGATTTCATTTGGTCGTGAATCAGGTGAAAAATTTATGAAAATTTATTCAACTCGAATAACCGAGTTTCTTATGGACATTTCTGGATTAAGACTGTATAAACTGAACAAGTAACGCAAAAGTTATCAGTTATTGTAGTTATTTTATCAATGATAATTCATAGTGATAATTTGAAGTAATATATCCATAGCATTTTCATATATAATCTCAACATCTTTCTCTGCAGAACAATATTGAAGATGATGCAAAAACCGAAAGTATTCGTTGAAACGTTTTTATGAATAGCAATTCATTTCAGAAACGGATTTAGCACGTTTCTCGAAATTCACTCCAATTCTCGTTCCCCTTTATCACATTTTGACCTATGTTTAATCTATCCCGGTAAACCTTCTCGTTTGCGAGAGAAATCGATGCGCGACCTCCATCGATGAACGCGCATTATTCCATTCGAAAATGAATCATCGATGCGAGAGGACGATACTCGATGCCGCGCGTACAAAACCAGCTTGTTTCGCGAAACCCACTTGATCTCGATGAATTTTGATAGCTGTTTCTTTCGAGCACGTTTATATCGGTCGTCCGTTCTTGCTGATATGAATTTTGCTCGTACGAAGCGAAACGAATAAAACTCGCCGATCCGAACGAACGTGTTCGCGGAATCGCTTATCCAGATTTTCTGAACTTTACAGGAACAATAAAAATTTCAAGTGCTTAAAACAACATACGGCTTTTAGTATGATTTAACATGCATTTACGTCGAGGAAAGGACGCGCCTGACATTTTCAGAGACAACTAAAGAACCCTCGTCTTTTCATCTTTCACGTTGTTGCCATGTTGTTCGATGTTAACGTTTCATTATCACAAGCATTTTACATTGAAATATTGAACGTATTGAATATAATAGATGATACATAAGATGCGGTGAAATCATTTTTAATAATGACTTCGATCAGCTTGGAACTGTATATTTATTTACCTTCATATATTCGGACGTTATTTTACAAACGGGGATTTATATTATTTAATTTATTTCCTCTAAGCAGAATTTTGAAAATAAAACGATTAATAACATGCTGATAACATCCGTTTGCGTTACGACTGAAAAAAATTTTGATTGTCGGAACCCTTAACGTCTTCTAAACGAATTATTGATTTAACCATGAATTATATAAATTATCTTTAAGAAAAAATTATTACTTTGTCTTATTTTTTGTGTAAGAGTTGTAATGTAAAAGATTCTACTGTCTCAGGCTCTAAAAGCAACAGGGGATGAATCGGGTGGTACCTGAATACTCAAGATTCTTAAACCACTTAATATTTATATTCATAATTTTCTGACGAAATTGTTACATGTAATAAATGACAAGTGATCTTTGAATGAAATGTGAAAGGTATAGTAATTCACTTTTCAGTATAATATAAGAACTTGCGTATTCTAAATAAATGCAACACGATTTACTTCCTCAATTATACTGATGACTTTTTGTTAAGATCCCATGCAATTTAAAAATATTATAAGTAATAAATGTATACAAATTTGGAGCATCTCCGACCCTTAAAAGAACATCATTTTTAAGAACATTTCGTTAAGTCAAATATTTATGAAACAATCATAAGCAAGGAAGAGTGCTAAAAAATTGAACGCGGCAGTCTTTTAAACCAATGAAATATTCTGTAAACGTCAACAAGATGGATCTTCCACAGCACTGCAATGTTTCTAATAAATTAAATTCGTATGCTTCGGATGATGGAATTATTTTAAATATCTTAGCACGGCAAACGCTATCGCGAACGTCACCGGAAGTAAGACGGTCTTCTGTGAAACGCATAAACGTCAAGGCATTAACGTTTGAAAAACTTTTAAGGCCTCCGTCGATCCCGCGAATTTTTATGATTTATATTTATAACCCGATATACGACGCAATCATCAATTAAACATTTCAATCTATGAATCATTTTGAAATAATAAGTACCCTTCGGTGCTTATTACGCCACACCGTTATGCCTATAAATTTTTCGCGCAGAACGTTCAATAAATTTTCGATTTCAGAAAATCCTGACGCTTACAATATTAGCGGAGCCCGGCCTTGACGCGAGTTTGCTGTCTAATCTTACGTCTATATCGATTTCCGCTGGTTTTCAACCGAGTGTCCCGATTCCCTAAGATATCGCAAAAAAAAATTTCACTCCGCGGTCATAGAAAGATATATTTTCTGTCGTGAAAACGCCGCGTCCTCATGGGCAAAGAAACTTCGAAAATTCTAAAATTAGTAACGTCGAATTTTTCGACGTCGAACGGGGTGGGAATTATGGAAGAAAATTGAGAAACCGAGATTCGTCGGTTAACGTGACGCGAAATCGTGGCGTCGAGGCACGATCTCTTTCCGGTTATTGCCATCCAAATATACTATTCCCACAGAAAACATGACTTTCGTCATTGACACGTGAAATGTCAGAAGGACAATAAACAGAACCGCTCGTGCCGCGTACCGACTGAAATAAGTCACGATTTTCCTGAATAAGCGTGTATCATAGGCGGATTATTCTGGAATCATGGAAACACTCGCCATCTTATAACGCTTTCAGTGCCAATCTGACGAAAATGCGAGAAATATGTTGTAAAATGTGATGTCTCGACGCACTGTCAACAGACGTTCTATTTTATTTTTACACGAACGACCTGCGACCAGTTCTGGGCAAAATATTAACATAAATACTAAACAGCAAAAAATATGTTTCATTCCATTTTATTTTATATTATTTTATTTTACTTTCAAAGTAGTTGAATATCGGTAATAAAATGTTTTATTTGCAATGTGAAATTCTCTCTGAATACAGTATTTAAAAATAGTATTTCATTTCAAGGATATTGAAAATATTTTTGAAACCACTTTAAACATTTTCGAGTAACTGAAATTCCGTGTCTACGGAAGACTAAACCATGTAAAAAGTTGACAACGGCAACTATGTTGCGTGTGAATCGATACTTAAACCAAAAATAAATTTACTCTGCCAAATAGTCCAGTCCCTTCTTTCGCAATGCTCAATCTTTTCTCCATTCACTTTCACTGTTTAAAAATATTTGGAATATATACTTAAGATGCAACATTCGAGCAAAGTTCACTTTATACTCCAATTCATTGGAAAAGAAAATATTTTACTCGTCAATATTCAGTCTCTTACTCATAGTATCATTTCATCGGAATTGTACGGTATTCGGTATATCGAATACCCTTCAAACTATTTTCCCGTTTTTTCTTTAATTTTGCCCAGGACTGTTAGCAACTGTCGGCATCGACGCTTCAATATGGAGTTGATCGTGGCGGCTAGGTATATCACTCCGGCGAAAAAGAAAATTCAAATCTCACCGTAAAAACGAGGATAATCCGTAGGTAGTCGAACGGAGGTACACACCGCTTTTATATTTCGACGAGAGGGGCCCTCTACTTTTCAAACTCGCACCGTGTATCTGTGGCACATGTCACACAAAGAGGGAGATAAAGACGTCGCGCTTCTAGTCACTTTTTTCCCTGTATTACTCTTTCTCTTTTTGGTCTTTATCCGGATTCTTCTCCGTTACACTGTCGAGCTTCGTTAGCACTTTGTGGCGACACACACGCGAAGATCGGTTTCCTCTCTTCTCCTTTCTTCTTTTTTATTTTACTATCGACGCGTACATGGGGCACAACGACGATCGTCGATCACTGGTGCGGCTGCTCTCTCGTGGAGTGTGCGGTCGTTAGGTTAGGTTGCCGGTACGTCGAACACACGCACGCACGCACGCACGCACAAAACTGTCAGTCAAAAATTCAACTCCGTGTCCTTCGATGTCCCTGCGGCTCGTCACCGACCCACCGGACAGGCTTGAACTTGAATATACGAAAGCACCTTAGAAAGCACACACGCGTTGAACCAAACGTTTCCTCGGCCGGTTCCACGGGAAACAAGCTTCTTCGACACAATTTGAATTGATGAGATGGGATGAGCGATGAAGTCGATGTCAAAACGTACCGTACACGAGCCGAGCCGATTCGGATGGAAAAATTGACGAGGGAACAGAGAATTTCCTTCGTGTTCAAATGATGCGGTAGTGTATGTACATATATATATACAATATAAATTTATATATATATGTATGATACGTATGTGTATATTTTATATACACACATATATATATACATGTATATCGATCAATTGAGAACCCTCGGAGAGCGCACGAGTATATCGTCAAAACTACTGTCGTATTATTCTCTGGTCCGCCTTTTTCCTTCGTGTGTATCGTTCACCGGCGAGCCGGTTCGCAGACGCACGCACGCTCGCTACTCGTTCTCTGCCGTTCTCCTTCCAATTCTTCCGCTCTTTGTTCCGCACGGCTCGGCCGCTGCTACGTGACTGACCGCTTCGTACACACTCGTGCCGCACGAGGCGCGGCGAAGACTAACGAAGGGGGACCAACGGTTCGTCGATCGGAATCGACCCTCGGTTGAGGGAGCCTTCCTTTGTTCAGGCGAGACTGTGCGGCATGGCTCGTAGCGTGCTTTCCCTCTCTCTTTCTCGCCGCCTTTCGAGCCGCTGCTAGCTGGCTGGCTGGCTGGCTGGCTGCTGCTGCTGGCTGCTGCTGCCGCTGCTGCTGCTGCTGCTGCTCCCTCTGACGCGCCGCGTTCCTTTCCTTCTTCCTTTCCACTTTTATTTCTATCCCTCGGTTTTCCCTCTC